GATTTCAGAAAGGTGCCACACTTACTGTTTTGAATAGAAAAAAAAAAAAGTTATAGCCGCTTTTGTGGGTAAAGGACTGAGACACGCTAGAATGTATTTAATAGATTTAAATTGAATTTGCTCTTGTTACCGTCAAATGACATGCTAAATAGTACAAAGGTACATAATTACTTGCTCTTGACATTATTTTATGTTACTTACCGGAATTAGTGAAAGTGGATTTTGTGAAATTGGACCCTTCGAACATTGTGTTATTAATACTATGACAGAGAACACGCAGTATACGTCGCATGAATATGCGGATATTCACCTAATTTACGGTGAAGCTTGCTGTAATGCCAGAGCTGCTCAAAGACTCTATGCAGAGCGATACCCCAATCGTCGACATCCGGGTCGAGAAGTATTCGCCCGGACCCATAGAGAAATATATGAAGGTAAGTGATTTTTACACCTTTCTTGTTTGCTTGCTTGTTAACTATAATTTTTCACTTTTTTAAGGTCGCATACCTGGAAGGCGTGGCGGCGAAACAGGACGTCCTGCAACGGTAGATGTTGAAGCTGTGTTAGAGGAAGTGGAACTAGCTCCATCGACTTCAGTGAGAATGATGGAAAGACGGACGGGAATACCAAAAACTACAGTTCACAAAGCTTTAAAAGACCATCGATTTCATCCCTACCACATTCAACGTGTTCAGGCTCTACAGGAAAGAGATTACCTGTCGAGGGTTAGATTTTGCCGTGAAATGTTGCGAATGCATGAATCAGACCCCACCTTTTTTAATAAAATAATTTGGAGCGATGAATCATCATGCAAACGTGATGGTTATTTTAATTTACATAACCTTCACAGTTGGCAGATATACAATCCTCACGAAATGAGAGAAGATCGTTCGCAGTACCGGTACAAAATAAATTTATGGTGCGGTATTTTTAATTGTCAGATATTGGGACCTGTGGAACTGCCGCCAACGCTCAACTCTCACAGTTATTTAGAGTTCCTTCAGGAACGGCTTCCAACTCTTTTGGAAGATGTACCCTTAAACCTGCGGCGAAGACTATGGCTGCAAAATGACGGGTGCCCTGCTCACTACGGGCGTGAAGTAAGAGCTCATTTAGACGAAACTTATCCTCGCCGATGGATTGGACGATACGGGCCAATCACGTGGCCCGCTCGATCGCCAGACCTGAATCCATTAGATTTTTTCTACTGGGGCTGTCTTAAGGACAAAATTTATTCAAAAACCATTCAAAACGAAGAGCATTTGCGGGAACAAATAAATGGAGCTGCTGCTGAGATAGCCCAATTGAGTTTAAGATCTCTAAAAGCGTCTTTTCTTAAAAGGTGCCGAGCTTGTATTAGAGTAGAAGGTCGCCAATTTGAGCATATTTTATCAATAAATGAATAAATTTCTCTTCAAACGACTCATGTATATTTTATTTCACGTGAATCCATGCTTCACAAAAAATATTGATAGATATAGCCCTTGTTATAGACTCTAGTCCGAATTCCGGTAAGTAACACAAAATAATGTCAGGAGCAGGTAATAATGTACCTTTGTACTATTTAGCATGTCATTTGACGGTAACAAGAGCAAATTCAATTTAAATCTATTAAATACATTCTAGCGTGTCTCAGTCCTTTACCCACAAAAGCGGCTATAACTTTTTTTTTTTTCTATTCAAAACAGTAAGTGTGGCACCTTTCTGAAATCTTTATTAAATGAGCAAGTTTTTTATGTAATGTAAAGTTATAGCTCAGTACATTTTTTTTTTCACCCGAGATAGTCAAAGTTGGGGAAGAAAATATCAAAAAGTTAAAAATCCAGAAATAGTCCTAATTTTATGATGGTTCCTTAATTTATTTTAACTACATTGCATTTGAGTATGGAGAGGCAACTATCTGGAA